AGAAACACAATTTAGATCCACTTTCTTTCTCTCACTGGCCGAAGAGATAAGAGAGACAAAGTTACAACACAAAGCTCCAGAACAGATGCTAAACTCAACTACAGTTTCCAACGTCAAGAATGAACTTTGACCCTCAACTTTTAAGCCCACATGGACTAGAAGGTCTAAATATGCTTAAAAATCTCCGTTGAACAAATCCTCTAGAATGGGACGTTGGTAAAACGTCCACGTCTGTGCTTTTGTGTGTGGCAAAGGAATGTGTGCCGTCTGTTACTGTTAGCAGCATATTTGTTAGTAAAAGGAGTGAGTAAATTATACAGTATCTCTATTGCATAAGTCTTTTTAAACACTGGAAGCTATTTTAAAACTGGTGTGTGGCTGAAGAAGTGACACACACACACACACACACACACACACACACACACACACACACAAAACCAGCAAGACATTTGTCCTTGTGTCCCCAGAAGAATCCTGAACTCTTTATCTGACATAAATTAGCCACAATTATTAAAGTATGTAGAAAAAGGAAGTATGAATAATAAAACAACAGGTGATGCTCCGTCTTCATCTCCTTTCTTTCTCTCTCTCTCTCTCTCTAATATGCACACACACACACACACACACACACACTGCATCTACTGCCAACAGCAACGTCTGCAAAGTTGAAAGGAGCCGAGTGAAGGAGAGGAGAGGAGGTAGAGATGTTGATCAATAAAAGTAATTGTGTCCAATGACAGACATGACTGCCAGCATTACAATCAACAGTGACGTCACTGACCACCTTCTGCTGGAGCCGTCTGCACACACACACACACACACACACACACACACACACACACACACACACACACATACTACACACGGATGCAGCAGATCACAGCAAACTTGATGACATGCCCAAACTAATGACCGCCCCCAAGAGAAAAATAAGTGCTTATGTCAAGAACAGCACGGAGGAGGACGTACTCAGCCAAAGACTCTCCTGAGTCTGGAGGTGAGAAAACTTGAGACGGGAGGATTTTTTTTTTTTCTGTCTAGGCCACAAAGTCAACAGTATCGACTTCACGCTGTCAAAATCAATGAGCGCAAAAATCATTTTGGCATCTCTGCTCCAGGTTAGAGCCAAACATATGGGGCCCCTCATTTGTGTGAGGCGTTCATACCTCGCACAATGAAGGAGATTAGTTTCAGTTTAACACACACAATAGATGAAATTGTGAGCCACTGATGAATCAGAGCAGCAGCTCCGACGTGTCACAACATTGGCCGAGGCCCCAGGTGTCCGAAAGGATTTAAAGCAGAGCTGACCTTTGACCTGGAGCTGCAGCCATGGTTCCTGCCCAAAAAAGGTTTCATCATCAGCTGCCCCTGTTGTCCATTCTGCAAGTGACAGGGATAGCCTTTCACAATCATTGCAATTACTGCGGCATGAATATGGTCTCGAGATCACGATGTTACCATCTAAATGAATGCAAAGGGGTTCGGTTATAGTCAACCAGCAGAGAGAGTTCGGCAAAGTCACTGCACCCAGCCAAGAAATAGTACCATACATAATCCCCCTAAAAATGGCAAATAAATAACCAATTTATCAGAAAATATAGGATATGTTATTAATGGGCTTTAGAGGAGCTGTTTTACCTTTGGACCAAGCCAGGCTAACTGTTTCCCTGTTTATAGTCTGTAAGCTAAGCTGAGCTAGCCGTCTGCTGCACCAGCTTTATATTTAACAGAGTCATGAGAGTGGTATCGATCTTATCATATAAGTCTTAGCAAAAAAAGAATATGCATTTTTGTGTCGACGGTTCAAGTCTTTTTTATTTTCTTTAATGTGAAAAAAGCTGAAAGGTCTAGTGTGTAGGATTTAGTGGCATCTCGCGGTGAGGTTGCAGATTGCAACCAATTGAATACCCCTCCACTCACCCCTCCTTCCCCCAGCGCGTCGGACAGATACGGTGGCCTTCAGGTAACGTAAAGACATTTAAGCTTCTCTCTAGAGCCGGCGTTTGGTTTGTCCGCTCTGGGCTACCGTAGAAAAACATGGCGGTGCAACATGGCGGACTCCGGGAGAGGACCAGCTCCCTGTGTGGATACGAAGGGCTCATTCTAAGCTAACCAATGATTCTTAGTTTTCAGGTGATTACACACTAACGAAAACAGAATTATGAACATTATATTCCATTTATAGATCCTTTGAAATGCTACACACTGGACCTTTACTGGGTCAGTTGATAAGAAAAGGAGAGCATAGCGTAACTTAAAGACGATATCTTAATGATGTGATTCTAAATACTCTATGAACGACAACAACAGAAAACACTGCAGCTAGGGACTGTAGTAAGACATCAGGACGTCACGTGATGGAAACTCCTGGAGAATACATAGTAGCTAATAAAACAGCAGCACGCGGTCGCACGGTCAAAAGAACGCATTAATCCTGGATTTTACAGTCTTCTTCCACGTGCGTCAGCCAAGCCGAACAGAGAACTCTCAGCTTAATGATGTGTGATTTACAATCAGCTATGAACAACGTGTGTTTTTTTTGCATCTCGGCCAGAAAGGACCAGCTGAAGCTGCACAAGGGTACAAGGTTGGGGAGACACCCGCGACGTGTGATCGGCATGAAAACCATGCAGAGCTCCTCTCTCCTGGTCGTCCTCTCTTTCTCCGTCCTCCAAACTCTTAATACACGTGATCCAGTAATGGAGATTAATGCAGACTGGCACGGGTACAAGTTTAACACACACACACACACACACACACACACACACACTCACAGAGGGTATGATGGTGAGGAAGGCAGAGAGGGTGTGAATATTAAACAATAGAGTGTGTGTGTGGAGGTTTGTCCTGGACAGGCGGAAACGGGGACAGAGATGAAAGATGGATTGGATGTGCTGCATTGACCAGTCACCAGAAACTAACAGGGATTAGAGGGTTTGGGTCTTGCACGCACACACACACACACACACACACACACATACAGATTGTGTGTGAACTCCATCAGGTAAGTGAGGCGTTAAGAGGTTGCAACATCCAGCTTTTCTTCCTAAACGCTTCTAGGTCGAGGTTCTGGATTTATGATAGCTCCACTGAGCATCCCCCCCCCCAGACTCTGAAGACACGTTTAGAGCACACGCACACACACACACAGACAGCCCTCTTCATTTATGCAGGATGTAGCTAGGATGGCTCACTACTGTTACTGCTGTGTGTGTGTCAGGTGAACACATGTCTCAGTTCAGCCCCAGTTTCTCAGTGACAGACAGCCCGGTGCTATGGAGTTACAGCCTGGCCTCATTCACAGCGACACACACACACACACACACACCCACACACTGTCAAGGCTGCCCGAGGGCTGAGGTTACAGTGGCCTATTTACGAGAGAGATTTGGACACAATTACTGGCGAGGGACACCGATGTGGACACATATAACATGAAGGATGGGGACACGATGGAGGTACCAGTAAAAATACATTCGAATGGAAATAAAGAATGTATACTTTTTTAAATTAATTTTAGATGTTTGTTTTCCAATTAAAGCATGAGTTCTTAGTTGAACGTCTAGTTGAAGTTAAACCGGCGAACATACAGTATCATCAGCTTTTGAGGTGTTAGCAAAAGTTGCTAATTTACACATCCAGATGTAATGGAGCAGCACTATCAATCATTGAGAGTCGTGTGTCGGGCCACCTGGCCAATGGGAGTTTAATATTCACTCTCTTGTTGTATCCTGCTTTGAAGCTGCTAAATGCTCCACTATATTCACCAGTCTGTCTGCTGGTTGGTACTGAACAGGTGGGTTTTTAGAGCTTCAGATTTAAAAGCATGGATTATGGCCTCTTTAAGGGATCTCCAGAGTTAACACAGTTCCTCCTTCTGCATCGAATTTCATGGCAATATAATATGAGTTGAGGTGTTTCAGTTTGCGGTTCCATATTTAATGGTCTCACTCACTCCTGAGGTCACAGCGTGGACGGGCACATCTGTAACTCGCACAATCCGGCAAATTCCTCGCTTCATAATCTGCTTAAAAGACATCAACAGATTGCTGCCGTCAGTGCGTGCGTGTGGTTTGGGGTATTATTTAAAAAAAAAAAAAAAGAAATGATATGATGTGCGTTTGTATAAAAAAAACCTGCACCATCATCATATAACTAATGACAGACAATGGCTAAATATGGCTAAATGTCAGGGACCGCCTGCAGACGCAACGTCCTCGGCGTATGCACAGCTTCAGCTTTTGATTACCACTTTAAGACGGAAACATTTTTTTCAAGGAACCTTTTTGGGCACTTTAATTATACTGCAATGTGCAGATCCAGTCAAGGTTCTTCGAAGAACGGGACTTTCCCTTTAAAATGACGCCTTGTTTAAAAAATACACTTTTGAGTTTAGAGTAATTCATTTCAGGATCGTCAGTATTTTAACTTTATAAATACAGCGGCATGCCTCTATTTTATATAATATAAAGGAGCAATGTAAATCACAAGACGGACTGGACCTGGATTGTTACATAAGGGAGAGGCGATATCGATGATCCACGCCCCAATGTCAGCTACCTAAGTAACATAGTAATAATGTACGGTGTCCTGTAAGGTGCATATATTTGGGAGTAACTGTTACAGCGTAGAGACACCTAAGCAAAAGAAAGTCCATAGATCATCAGCATGTGAGTTAATTAAAGAATAAATAGTAAATATTGCCAACAGTAAAAGCAGGTCCTGCACTAGCATTGGCTAAATCAGTATTTACACTGACAGCATGTGTGTCTGTGCACTGTCAGCCTGGAGCATCCTCTCTCTCTCCTCACACATTGTGACAGAGCAGAACAGACCCGGGTGAACCCTCTCAGGTCAAACAGTCTTAGAGCGCCCTCTGTTGGACTCAACGTGCGTTGCAGCTCAGATGAACTGAACCCGTAGACGCCTCCTCCTCTATAAACGCTAAGAGATTATTAAATATGTATCGCTAACAATGAACACATTCCCACGCGTTGTGATTTGAAATGTAGTGATTTATTTCATGCTAAAGCTTTGATCAATAGAAACGCCCAGAAAACAACAGTCATAAACACAGCAAATCAGTCGTGAGATCATGATACAGAGGAAATAATTAGCACTTAAAAAAATGATTCAAAAGAACTCAAGTATTAATAGAGCTATGAAACTCTACTTCTCAAACTGTGGAGTGATTTAGTACGGACTCTTATCTCAGCACTTGAGTACATCGGTGAGATTTGAGGCGTCCTCGAGCAGGGAGCAGAGATATGGTTGATACATTCATCGTATTTAGTCTGCTATTCATTCACAGAGGTTGACTTTAATCTGAAACAGAATCATCAGAAGTTCCAGCACACAATAAACAGTGATGGTTATAAATAGAGTAGCGGTGTTATCCATGTCCCATGCAAGCCCTGCACAGCAGATGTTCCTGGAATTAGAGTAGGCCTTTCCACAGGGGCTCCGTTGCATATCTAGAAAAGTGACACTATCGTAAAATACGGAATTTTTAATTCATGTGCACCGCTGAGGAAAAACATTGATTGTTACCAGTGTCTCGTAATCTCCAACTCGGCCCATTAAGGTACAAAGTGAGACACGTTTTACACTTCCAGCACTCTCAGTCAAACATTACAGCGGCAGTGAGGAAGTACCTTCACGTCCACTTGTGTTTCCCGATAAATAAATGCTGTGACTTTCTTTAGGACTATGTGGAACTTCTACAATTTGGGCGACTAACTTTTGAGCCCGTTTTCCAAAAAAGTGCTGAGAACACAAACTGACACCCGGCAGCTGAACACACACACACACACGACCCATCTATACATTCTGCAACAACACGCTTTGGTTTTCCTCAGGTTCAAGTCTCACAGTCACACTCAGTCACTCACACACAATCAATCACCAGTACAGACAGATGCTGAAACAAACAAAATACTAATCATTCAGTAGTAAGCGCAGATGTAAGAAATATCCATCCACCTTTGTGAAGGAGAAGCGATCCACCAGCAGCTATACAATCACCACGATTAACCACCACCACCTTGACATTTAGGCAAACTGTAACCAATCATGTGCTTTGTAGAGTTTTATACTCTGCCAATGCACCAACATGGGGAGCAGCGTTTTAGTGTTTGGTAAACCCCATCAGATCAGTTTGTTTGCAGATATTGTTCAGCCAAATTTACGTTGAGACCCACCAGACCAGTGGAAGTGGACGGTTGGAACATTACTGCCCGTCTGGTTGCACTTGTCGTCTCCACTACAATGTTTACTGGCTGCCCAGCTCCTAATCGAATCAGTGTAAAGAGTGTAAACATAAGGTTGGAGGCTCTAGATCTCCAGAACTGTGAGGAAGAAAGATGCCAACTCTCTCAGGAGAAATGTGGATGCTAGGAAGGGAGGAGGAGGGAGTAACTCTGGAGCCGCGAGAGTGAGAGAAAATGAAAGAGAGTGGGAGAATGACAGAAAGAGGCAGCTGTCCAGGTCCTGCAAGGCCCATCTCCCCTCTTCAAAGGACCAGAGGAGGGCCTGTCTCCCTCCCTCCATCCCCCTGTGGATGACTCCCGTCTGGTGAGAGACGATGGGGCCCAGCGACTAACACGCACCCACTGAGGGGATAATTCAAACGGGCAGCGTCTGGGTGTTTGTCTCCGCGTCCTGCTGCGCGGTTCGTCTCTCGGTGAACACACACACATACGCGCGCACAGAGCTCATTAAAAAAGACCAACCAAGCAGAGGAGATGGGGGACAATTATCAGAAGCACTCGAGTCAAAACCGGTTTCCACAAAAATGAAGTTAATAGACACGAGTACATGATGTGCAACAAGATGTGCTGGGCCCTTTGTGGGACATTTTGACAGTCAAGTAGCTTGACTTAGTCGTGACTATGGAAGATAAACAGCCGAGGTCCCGACTCTAAAGATATTCTATTCTTTTTGTTCAATCAATACACTCTTATACGCACATTTGATTCTCAAACGGAGGGTTATATGTTCTAGATGTCTCATAAAAAGGTCGATCTTAACACCCCAAACACAAAAGTCTGCTCAGGTAGGAAAACAAAAATCAAAAGAGCTTTAAGAATTTCTCAAATATTGTAACAAATCTCACATCTTCATACAATACATCGTATTATACATATACTGTATAATATCACCATCCTTTTCAGTCTTCTTCGAGGCCTGGTCATGCCAGAAAGTAGCACAGAACATGTGGCTCGAGAACATCAGTGATGCAGGAAGGAGGAATCAGATCAGATTTGGCATTTTTTTGTTGAAAGAAGTTTGGAACGATGACTCATCATCACAATAGTTGGCATTCCCTGTTTGTTTTTTCTATCAAATAATAAATGAGTGCAGCCAATTGTTGCAGCTCTGGGAGTGATTACTTGCAGGGCTAGTTACTTAGCGAGCTAACCGCTAACACGCTACCCAACCTCGCACGCTCACGACGAGCTTCTTTTCATTTCTCTGTACCGAGCATTGATCTCGTTTCGTTCAACACAGAAACGGATGCTAATTGTCAGTTAGCAAATTCATTAGCTCGACCACCAACAGAACAGTAGAGACTTGTTTGTACCATTCACTCCTTTTCATAACGGCCCGCAAACCTCTTTCGTGGGGCTGGTTAAATGAAATGGGATGGTGCAACACAGCTAATAAGCCAACAGCTCCCCCTCAAACGGCAGCTTCCACACATCGTGCTGATTCCATTGGGAGGAGTTGATTCTGCTGTTTGAAATGCTGGTGTGACCAGGCTTTCAAAAGTGAAATGAACATGCAGGCCACGACTCAGAAGATTCATCAAGCTGGACCAAGGCTAGATGTTTAGACCACTCAAACGCAGCTCTTTGGTACATTCCACTACTTAATGAAATGTAAGCGGCATTGAAATATAGTTTAAGACCTAAAAAGAAATCATACACATTACAAAAAAGATCAGTGTTGTGAATACCTGAGAAAGATTTGTTTGAAATTTAAAAAAAAAAAAAGATGCTATGAATCGAGGCGTGGGCGTAAAAACAAAAGGAGGGCTGAAATGTAGTTGACAGAGGGAAGAGACTCGGCAGTTCTCCTCACAACATTACATTCAGTTACATCAGCCGCACCTTGTTCTTCCTCTCAGCCATCGCCCACTCTGATCCAAAACAACAGGAGAGAAATGCAGCAATCAAGGAGCTTTTCTCTCTCTGTCTTAAGAAAGGTATGCACTATGTTAAAACCCTTAGGCGTACACACACACACACTGTGCTGAGCTCCACTGGACCTATTTCACACGACTAAAGTCGGCCCTTGTCTTTGTAGCACCAGCTGATAAGTCTCATTAAGGCCAGCTCGTTAGGAGAGGGCCGTCCCCGTGGACAACCGCTCGGCGACATCGTGTCTGTTGTGCGACGTCTGCGTGATGTCTCAGTAGTAGGACATGCGTGTGTTTTTTTGGTTTGAAAGAGTCAGTCAAGCAGCAAGGCTCCGTTACATTTTTCCGGCCTAAGAACGGTGAACAGGAGGAGCGTGTTCCCTCCCGGTGCCCCGACCCTCCGGTGTGGCTCTCCTCCGCAGCACATCCGCATCAGTAGAACTTGTCATCGATGCGGAAGTGCGGCCTGGTGACATCATCGGGGTTGAGGAAGACAGATATGGATTTCCCGGGGTTCTCGGTTACCAGCTGCTGCAGCCGCTGCGCCAGCTTGTCCTCCGAGGGGGAGATGATGCCGTTGGCCAGGTGGTGCCCGGGGGAGCCGTGGCCGTTGGTGCTCGCCGTGAGCTCCTTCTTCAGCTGGCCCGCCTGCTGGGCCTGGTCCAGAGCCGCCCGGAGGTGCTCGCTGGGATCGGAGCGTACGTGGGCGAGCTTCCTGGCGAGGAGCAGCGCCTGGCCGTCCGTGAGGTGCTCCAGCATGTTGCACTGGGGCAGGAAGTAGTTTGGGCAGTTTTTGCCCAGGATGCAATGAGACAGGTCATCCAGGAGACCTAGGAGGAGGCGGCCAGGGGTGTCGGGGTCAGGGCAGGACAGATAAGCGGCAGGAAGTCGATCGCAGGCCCAGAAGAGAAGGGTACGCAGGTGATAGAGGCTGAGGCCCGCACGGGGACGGGCCAGGATACGAGTTAACACGGCTCTGGCTGCTTGGAAAGCCTGGGCCATGGGGTAAGGGATGCACTTCTTCAGCTGAACCTGGTAATAACAGAGACAGAGGACCAATGAATTAGGCAGGAACAGGAATAAAGACACAGTGGACAAAGGCAGTGGGACGAAAAAGAAGACGATTTAAACCGAATACGAGGCGGCGCCAAACATGACGTTTACAATGGCCTCACCTCGCTGCGTGAGAATGCCAGCCTCCACTCCCTGTCGGGCCGGCCGCCCAGTGGGGAGCAGCAGGGCAGCAGGTAGAAGCCAGATATGGCTTCCTCCTCTGTGATTTTACCATCCCAGAAGTGGTTGGCGGTCAGCCAGCCTTGGGCCACAGCAGGCCAGCCCCGAAACGACACCACTGGCAGCAGGTCGTACAGCACCCGGCTGGAGCCCGCCTGCAGGGACGACGGCGAACACAACTTGTTTGTTAACAAGAAAAACTCCACAGAGAACAAATCGACTCAGACACAAGCATTCTGTCGTCTTCCGTTTTTTTTTTTTTTTTGCAGCAATCTGTACCTGGAGGATGATGGTGGTGAGAGGTCCGTTCCTCTCCAGACGGTCCGGGGTCGGGATGCCTCTCTGGGGGCTGCGCCTCAGCTCCTCCACAGCTTTGCTCACCACCCCCCAAAACCAGTCCGTCACCAGGGAGGGAGAGAAGTAGCATCCATCCAGAGAATGAGGAGAGTCCAGGGAGGGGATGGAGCCTTTACCTAAGCAAGGGAGAGAGGGGAGGGGAGGGATGAATGCTGAATGCACTCCAAACTGACCAGCACACCAGAGTCTGGCTCATCAAATAACTTGATACTTTCCTCTCTGTTGAATCCCACAATATTGGACCAGCAAACTGAATGTTGTTTGTAGCTCTAAAGAAGACTTTTGAGTCCCCGTCGTGTGCAGTTTACTGCCAAAAGCAAAGAAAAGTCCCCTAATCCTGCCACCACAAATACTGTCACATAAGATCCTAAAGGGAAGTGTTACGATACGACCGGATAATGTTGCAAACCTATTTTCCAAACTGCTGAAAATTAAAGCCAATCACATCAATAAAGGCCATTACTTTTTCTCGTCTTGGAGCTCTCGCGCACACAAAGCGTGTGGTCGATTCGATGTCGCGGTGTAATCAGGAAGACGGCGCGTAGGCCTGACCTGTTGATTGTGAAGTTGTGCTCATAAATGTTTCAGCGCGCATTACCTGGGGAGGCATTTCTCATTCCGCCTATCCGAGGAGGTTTTAGGGAAAGCGGGGCCTCGGCTGCAGCTTGCCGAGCAAAACGCATCGCAGCATCACGCATCAAATTATCTCATGAAACACGAACAAAATTCAATCGGCTCCCTTTCCTTCCACTCTCCGCTGTTACAGCACCTTCATCTTCCATCTTTATATTTCTTTGATAGTAGTTTACCCATCCTCCTTTGCTGTTCTTACTGTGCTCCCTCTTTCCATGCAATCGTCATCATGCTCATTCCACTCACTCATTTCTCCCTCTTCCTCCTCGTCTTCCTCAATGGGGAATCCATTCTCCTCCTGGCAGCAGATGCTCCAGCGGGACATGACGTTGGAGTCGCAGAGGCAAAGGCTGAGCCACGAGTGGCAGGGCGGGGAGTGCCTCATGTCCAGGGTGACGGGCTGGTTGCGGTCGTGGAGCTTGAGGGCCGGTACCAGCAGGGTGAAGTCCAGGTCGAAGTCGGCCCCTTTGGCGTAGTCGCCCAGCTCCTCGGGGTTGAGGTCCAGGACCCCCTCCCTGGCCCCGCCGGACAGCAGCAGGTACTCGTTGGCCACCGGTAGGCGCTGGTCTACCCTCTGGACTAAGCCTGGATGGGTTGGGGGATGGGGGGGGGGGTAAGACAAAACACAAAAATGAATCACACTCAGCACAATTCACATTCAGAGCCACTGGTATGTGTGGAAATGCGTTTCCTGATGCAAGGAGCAATGAGCGGAAAGCTTTTGAGAAGTGTTCTCTCTCTCTCGCTCACGGATGCATGCGCACATTAAAATGCATTTCATATGCAGATGAACGGACGCGCATTGCACACCCGGCCTCGGATGAACATGCCGGGACGGAGAACAGTAGGTCCGCAACTGAGCGAGCCTGTGAAATATCCAGCTCAGTTTATTAGGAGAGGCACTGCATTCATTTATGACTCCGGGCTGCCGCCTATACCGACACATGAAGGAGTGTGAAATGAACAGCGCCCTCAGTCACCACTGGGCTACACACTAATGCCAAGTTCAGTGGTTCAGCTACATTTGTGCTTCCACACGCCATGCACTCTCAGTAAACACTATGCTTCTGCACCATCATTGGCCTGAGGGACTTCTCCTGCTAACGATCGGCAGGAAGGAGGCAAAGGGAAAACAATTAAAAGGATACGTCCTGTTTATTAAAACCAGGCTCGTATTTCTGTAGTCTGTTTATTTAATTGCTGAGACCTGGGAACACAGTGATGGAGCAAGAAATACGAACAATGATCGTCTTATTATATTGCTAAAAAAAGCACTCCTCGTTCTCCTTACACGAGAGGAGCTCGAGCCTCCAAATCCCTTTACGGCCACTTGGCTGCGTGGTAAACCTCCCAGGCTCTGGGCCCGAGGGATCCGCAGTACTGGAGTCAAGTCAATTACTTTTTGCAAGCTAAAAAAGGGGGCAGCTAAGAAACGCCTCATGCTAGGACCAAACCTGTGCTGATCTCGAGCTAACTGCCAGCTACTACGGGGTCAAAGGTGCAGCATGGACAGGCCCACCACAGGGGTGGGGAGAGGTCGTGAGAGTTTAAGCCTCTCCGGAGCAGTTGGGTGGCTGCAGACAGCGGGAAAAGGGGGGGGGGGGGGACGAAGCTCCACACGATTCCCCTCATCCAATTACATGGGCACACAACCCCAGCGGCATGTGTGTGTGGACCTAAGCGTGTGTTAAGATCAGAAATATTGTGAGTCAGAAGCAAAATACCAGAAGCCACTGATACTCACAAGTGGCATCAACAGAAACTCATTCTCAATGCTTCCATTTGTGGGATATTTACAGGGATAAACTTATTGAATTTCAGACGGCTGAATTTGCTATTTTAGTGCTGATGAATTAAGAACCTGACTGAGGAGCATACTTCTTTGTGGGGACAGCCACGCGATCGTTTCTCACTTCATATCAAGAAGGCAGAGCGGTTTGCCGGAATATAAAAAGAGCAGGTGTTGAGAAACCTCGGGAGTGAAAACGAACGAGCGATGAAAGTGGGAGTCAAAGTCAAATGTGCTTACGAGGATCTCTCTGGTGCTTCGCTTCGACAAGGAGCACAATGAAAGTGCTTCGTTTGACGCGACCACTGTGGGAGCAGTCAAAGAGAGGAAGAGAAATAGAAAAAAAGAATGTGACAGCCGACTTTCGATTTTCCCGTGTGTCTCAGCAGAATGGGCTCATCTCCCTCTACGAGCTCCATTCATCACCTGGCTAGACTTACTGCAGTGTTTCCCGTCGCACTTTATCCAGAGTACCTTCCTCAGGATCCTCAGCCTCTCAACTCTCATATGGCAACACAACCGATGTTTCACTTCATGAAAGGACAACGAATTCTAAGTGGATACCTGAGTAAACATCAAAATGAACATGTAGAAAATGAATTCCTTGTGTGCTATGAAAGATGATGATGTGTGACATGGTTAGAGCAGCACTACAGGTTGTTGTTATGAAGGACGTCTGAGGTGATTAAAGGAACACAGTAAAGGTGGCATACTTAACTCATAGTGATTGTTTGTGACGTGTGAAACATATTACGACCAATCGCTGGTGGAAAGTAACCAAGTACATTTACCCAAGTGCTGTACTTTGTAAGTTTGAGGTACTTGTACCCGACTTTTCCTTTCATTCCACTTTATACTTCTACTTCACTACAGTTCAGAGGGAAATATTGCTACATTAATGTAATACCTTCAGTTACTTTAAATGTAATGATGCTTCTCAGCAGTATATATTAACTATATATACTGGGGGGGGGGGAAGACTGGGCAGATCAAAGAGAAGAAGAGAGGGGACAAGACAGCGTCAGAGGGAGGGACGGATCAGACGGCAGCCGAAGGGCAACAAGTTGGAAGCCACGACTTCTCCGATTTGTCCCGTTTCATCCGCCACATGTTAAATAGGGTCAAATAGGCGAGGAGAAGGAAAAGAGTGACGGAAAAGAGAAGAAAGAGCATCTCATCTCTCCAGCAAAGGGGGCTTCTGTTAAAGAGAGGAAGAAACTGTATCAATTAGCGAGCCCGCTTCAATCTCCAACACATGGCTAAGGGAAGTTTGAGGTTGTTCCAAGGAGCACAATCTAGTTTTTAAATCCAAACTCTCAAATGCTGCTTTACTGGGCATCCGCCAGCCAGCACGAACACTCTCCAGCATATACGCCTGTAGACACACAGGCTGAGAATAGAGCTGGAATGGAGACCGTCTAGGCTGCTTTCACAGCCACGGATTAAACTTAATCCTATAAGAAATGTCTTTGAATGTAGATTTCCATTAGAGGGAAGTTTTACGATAAGAGCTATTTTCAGACTAGACCCAATTCCGCATGTGTGAAAGGACTATTTGATGGCTATTGGTTACTCCATCAGTCTCAGCGTGCGGAAATGGTACAGCCCAACTACTCACCTACCTGCCTGCATGGCATGCTTTCACATACGTAAGCCCTCAAGCTCATTCAAACGTCTGAATGACCTTATTGCTTCCAGACACATATTGTGTGATGTTACACACTTATGTATTGAACTAAATCTATACAGCGTGGCCTATATTAAACAGACTAAAATACTAAAATGATACTCATATTTGAAGTAATCGCACAGGCCATCCTGCCTCACACATCTACCCAACACCCAGACTATACTTTACCCCTCAAGGTATGAAGTGACAATGCCGTGCTGAGAAATCCCCCTGAAACAGAGAGAGAGAGAGAGAGAGAGACAGAGAGAGAGAGCACAGCGGCATCATGGGAAAGGCGTCCCTTTCTCATCACAGCTGGAGCAGAGCAACAGCAGTCTGCCACACACCTCTAGTTTGATCGACTCTAAAAGTAGCTCAGTAACTCTCTCTGGAACATGAGATTCCTCTAAATAAGCTGATGACTTCTATGTGCCATTATTGGAGAGACTGAGCTGCACTAACAACTGAGATGTAGGCAAGTTTACTGTCATCCATTCACGCAAGTCCATCAAAATAAAGAATTGATAGTCTTACATGCAAAGACTCCTGGCAGCCAGGGGCTCAGGTTGCACTAAATGAATTGCTATGATGTTGGATGTTACGGGGACTGTGATACCTAACCCTAACTTCAGATCAACTTCAGTACTTCCTGAAGGAGGGGATGTTGTCAAAAAGAGTCAAGTCAAAATGTTTTTCACAGTCGTCGTAGCACATCCCCCTACCTCTGTGTGACCGCTCTGCTTTTTCGGACAATAAAACTTTCATTCAGCAGCAGCACATGCCGTAACAATGACGTTAGGAGCAGCCTCATCCCGGAAAAGGAGCAATTGAATTTGTTTCAAATGACTCCTGACTAATATAGTCTCAACCGGATGTTATCGGCGCTGTTCAACCGCCACTTCTTACAGAATCACCTCGCGCGCTAATAGCAGGATTAATCCCAGACGAGCCGGCTGCTGAAAGGTGAGCCGCTCCGCCCGCTCGCTGTTTATGAATTCATATCAAGGCAGGAGATTAGTTTAAAAATAGGCTTCTTAGAGAGGAATGGAGAAGTTCCAATTTAATCTGATGGGGGGGGGGGGGGGGGGGGGG